CACACATCACACACACATACATCACACACACATACATCACACACACACATACATCACAACACACACACATACATCACACACACATACATCACACACACATACACACACACACACATACACACACAACACACACATCACACCACACACACATACATCACAACACACATCCATCACAACACACACATACCATACACATACCATACACAAACACATACACACCACGCATCACACCACACATACATATCACAACACACATACATCACAACACACTCACACCACACACACACATACATCACCCACACATCACAGCACACACACACATATACACCACACATACCTATCACAACATACAGGACATAGATCACAACACACATACATCACACCACACACACACACACACATCACACCACACAAACATGCACAGATACACACACAAAAAACACACACCACATGTACATACACCACATACACACCACACAGACACAGACAACATGAGTCAATAATCGCTCAAACATCACACACATAAATTGAAGCACAAATAACACAGTTGACATGATACACTTAGTACAAATCACACATGGGACATGTCACTTAGCAAAAATCACACAGGTGACATAGTACACAAATCACATAGAGGACATAACTGACTTAGCACAGTGGACATGATACGCTAAGTACAAATCACACAGAGTACATGACACACAAAACACAAAACAAAAACAAAAGTCACACAAAAGTCACACAGAGGACATGAGTCACTTATTACAAATCACACAATTTGTCATACCACACAATTGACATAACTCACTCAACACAAATAAAACAGAGGACATGACATACTTATAGCACAAACCATACAGTGGACATAACTCACTAAACATAAATCACCTAGAGGACATAACTCACAAATCACACAGACAACATCATAACCTAGCACAAATCACATAGAGAAAACTACTCACTAAATTACCTGTTCCGAACAAATTTGATAATTAGTCAAAATAAACAGGGTACGGAGTGACATTTTTACATGCACCACATTCACGGTATTCACATACCGGATGGTTACGTAAGAAAACATAGGGTATCAGAGCACTAAATCTCAAGAAATAGTTACGAAAGTTATTCGCATTCGGGTTACACAGATAACCAAATTTAAAGTGAATTTCTCCATAATGGTAAATTTGCAATGTCATGAATACTTATGCTGATATTATTTAGCACCATTCGTGACAACAAAAACAAACCATGAAAGAAAAATATATGGATGTTGTTTGTAAGTTTGAGATACATGGTCCGATATAATATATCTATATATAACAGATAATAAATTGTTCTAGAATAACATATTACTATAAATCATATAAAAGAGCCGTGACATTACAAAACCAACATAGTGCGTTTGAGATCAGCATGGATCCAGACCAGCCTGCACATCTGCGCAGTCTGATAAGGATCCATGCTGTTCGCTTAAAAACCCTATAACAAGTAGAGAAACTGATAACGAACAACATGGATCCTGATCAGACTGCGAGGATGCGTAGGCTGGTCTGGATCCATACTGATCGCAAACGCACTATGTTGGTTTTGTCATGGCGCGGCTCAAATGTTCATTATTAAATGACATAGAACTATATCCATATTTTATTTTAAAGGAATATTTTATAAGAATATCTAAATTAGTAAAACGGGCGATCCGTTTCCCGATCTTCTATTTTTAAAAATGAACATCATTTGAGCCGTGTCATGACAAAACCAACATAATGGGTTTGCGACCAGCATGGATCCAGACCTGCCTATGCATCCGCGCAGTCTGATCAGGATCCATGCTGTTCGCTATCAGTTTCTATACTTGTAATAGAGTTGGTAAGAGAACAGCATGGATCCTGATCAGACTGCGCGGATGCGCTGGCTGGTCTGGATCCATGCTGGTCGCAAACGCATTACGTTGGTCTTGTCATGACGCGGCTCATTTATGCGCTATAAATAGCTCTCGAGACGCTGTTTCGAAACAGGCTTTACAGTGATATGATGCACTTTTCCTAGATAAATTTACCGAAATACTAAGTTTGAAACAACGCAGATTTTTTTCTAACAGAAAATAAAAGCTAAAGACCGCTTTTAATTTTATTTTAATAAAGGATTTTCAGTATGTTTGACGATTTTCACTTGAAAAAAAATAGCGCTACATGTGTGGTTATAATTTGTCATAAAAATAGCAAAATGAATTCGTAAACTAAGTGGTTATTTGATTAAATTTACTGAAAAACTTAGTTTGAAACAACACAGATTATTTTTTTCCAGTAAAAAATAAAAACTGAAGGTCGCTTTAATCATTTTAGTGTAGTACAGCATAATTAATTATCTACGTGGAAAACTCATGATAAAATCATTCTACGTAACCTGGTCGTAAATCTATCATTGTGAAATATATCATGACGTGGACCAGGGTTTGTAATAAACATATCATAAATTTCATAATGTTAAATATATACGTTTATGGCAACATTATTTCATATCAATATTCACACAAACATAGACCGTTATAAACCTGTCATACCCACGCCTATGTTAAGGCAAAAGATTTAATAATTTGTTTTATCATATTATTTATACGTAAAATAAAGGAATTCCCAAATTATAAAAAAGAAACGAGGCAAAATTGAAAATGTTGCAGGCTTGGTTTGATCCCCGCAAATTAAACCAAAAGTATTAAAAAATCGGATGGAGTCTGTATTGTGTAAATATACGAAAGGAATAAGTATAAATAAATTCTGTATGTTTTATCATAAAGTCAGTCTTAAGGTTTTGAAAAAGATTTAACCTCGTCTTTTTCTTTAAATCCTTGCTTCAACCTGAAAATTCTGTCAATGAAAAATATATAAAGGCCACTTCCTTGCCTTGAGCGCCATTATGTTAACTTATTCAAAGAGTCATGAAAGCTTGAAAATAAAGAATTTTAACATCATAATTCATACGTATTCAAATATATAAAGAAGGGTTATATACAGTATGTTTCTTGAAAACAATAACAACAGAATACAAGTTTTTTTTATATAATCGTTAATGGCCATTATTTTGTATTCTATTCTTTGAGGTTTGTGCCAATGGCTGTGATGCAACAAGGTAACAATTCTAACGTTTACATTATTATTTGAAAGTAATATCAAATATTATATTGTCATAAAATTTGCCCAATAATATAACTATTTGATTGAATGAGCGACACGTGATCATGCCTGTATCCTCTGAAGCAAAATAGTTGTGCCGCATTATGTACAGAGCTTTACAAACACAGAACCTATTATTTCATAATTCAGACCTCACAATAAAATAAACCTCTCTTGAAAAAAACACCTCTCAGGATCGACCAACATAACCTCAAAAGAACGTCCCTCTGCAGAGGAGTATGTATACAAATAAAATATAATAATAGATAAATAACCGACTAGACACGCGGCTCGTATACAAAAACATATTTTACACATGAAACAATGAAAAAGGCCAGACGAATTAATTCGAAGCAAAATAACTCCAGCTAAAATGCACAATAAATGACAAAACTGTAATACGCAAAACAATTAATTATAGGCGTAATGTAGTGATTCATTATAACTAGTTAATTGCAACAATACATTTATATATAAGTGTGTGTATGCAAATCATACTACAACAACAATTTCGAACGGTACAAATCTAGCTAGAGATAAAACTGTTACAACCGAAACAAAATGGCCAATATGTGCGTGACTCTATTTTATTTGACTGTGATATTGGCATTGACGGCAGGGCAACATAAACACAATAATTCTCCGAACAAAAACGCAAAAGGTAAGTTTTCAAATGCATTCTTGATTATTTGTTTTATATTTCATCAAAAGGACATTCCGTTTGTTTTCATATTAAGGAGAAAGATGAATGTTTTGTTTAAAAAATCAGGAGCATAGTAGGTTTTTGATGTACACGTTTTGATTCTGCAGTAAGGATTATATATATTTATCAATAAAAATACATTTGATAAAATTGCACAAACACCTTAGATCATTTAACTTAGCTATGATCTTAAAAGAAAAAAAAATAAGTTATTGTATTCTATAGTGTAAGTTTCATGAACAGGCACCGTCGTCGGTTACCCACGGCATATATTCTGTACATGCTTCATTATATTCCGTACATACTTCATTATATTCCGTTACATACTGCATTATATTCCGTACATACCACATTATATTCCGTAAGAACTACATTATTATATCGTAGTATGCACGGAAAATATACCGTGGGTATACCGACGATGACGTTCACCGGCTGTACAGCATCTTAAATATATATAATTCTGTTACAGAGGAGTATGGCATAGAATTTGTTACAAGTGGTACAAATGACCCCGTGTGGACCATACAGAAAAATAACCAAGTCGTTAAGTTGATTAATGATTATGTAAAGGTAATATATTTGTTATGTCTGTAACTTTGACGTAAATATCTAGATAATGTTAGATGTGCATGTTTGTTTCGAGCCCACAACAGGATAAAGTTAGCTTTACTTGTTAATTTGACGCTCATAATAAAGTAATGCTAGATTACCTGTTAATTTGACGCTTATAACAGAATAACTGTAAATCTACTTGTTAATTTAACGCTTATAAGAGGATAATGCTATATCTACTTGTTAATTTAACGCTTATAACTGGATAACGATATATCTACTTGTTAATTTGACGCTTATTACAGTATAACTGTAAATCTACTTGTTAATTTAACGCTTATAAGAGGATAATGCTATATCTACTTGTTGATTTAACGCTTATAACTGGATAACGATATATCTACTTGTTAATTTGACGCTTATAACAGTATAACTGTAAATCTACTTGTTAATTTAATGCTTATAAGAGGATAATGCTATATCTACTTGTTAATTTAACGCTTATAACTGGATAACGATATATCTACTTGTTAATTTGATGCTTATAACAGAATAACTGTAAATCTACTTGTTAATTTAACGCTTATAAGAGGATAATGCTATATCTACTTGTTAATTTAACGCTTATAACTGGATAATAGACCTACTTGTTAATTTAACGCTTATAACAGGATGAAATATTTACTTGTTATTTGGACATTTATAACAGGATAATTAATGTCCACTGTATCAGGATAATATTTATTCTTGACGCTAATAACAGGATAATAAATTTACTTGTTAATTTGATGCCCTAAACAAAATAGTAGCTCCACTTATAATGGACTGTTCCAAATACAAAGCTGGGCGAATCCATTTATGACAATCGGAAGGTTAAGAGCTTATATGCAACAAAAAGACATTTCAAGCCAGTGTACCCGAAGGTTTCATATAATCAAGTCACGATTTTTAGTTGTAGAATTTCAAGGGAGGTAAATTAACAGTTGAAATATACGCTCGACACAGCCATACTTTCAAGTTTGAAACCTCACCTTAAAATTTCTACAGCAATCTTTATTTAATCTTTATAAAAACCCAATTGTTGTTATTTCTACATGTTTTGTGTATATTACAGACAAACCAAAATAAAGTGCTTAATGGAAACGGTTACAAAGGCTACAAGGTCAATCATAAAGTTGGAGGTGTTTTGCAACACACCTGGATAATTCCAAGATGTGGCAGCCCAACTTTAGAAAAACAAATTTACCAAACAGCCCCAGCCACGACACCGCGCCAGTATGAAGTCAGCTTGGACGCAGCATTGAACCTATGTCCGAAACCTGCTCCGGGGCGGAAATGAATGTAGACATTTGACAAATGATCGTGATTACTTAAAAACAGGAAGTGAATATCTTCTCAACATGCGCATGCGTTCTATTGTTTGTTCATACTGTTTATTTCTAAAAGTTCTTTTGCTATAACTTTACACGTTAGCAGAATAAAATGTTACATTTTCAAACAGTCAGTACTTTCTTTCATTTTTTTCTTATGTAAATTTCTGAAATTCGACATGGACATGTAACGAAATTTCGTTTCAGGATACTTTCTAGATGAAAAAGATAATGCGATAAATGAATGGTTAACATTTTTCTTACAATTCAAAGTTTATACACCGCCATGAAACAGGAAGGAATTTCACTCTAAAGATCATTACTCTATGAAGAAATGATAAAAATGTTTTAACCCAGTGGTTTCGAAGTCCATATATTAAGAGAACAAATCCGTGATAGATACCAGCTTGTATTGTAAAAAGAGACCAGATGACGAACTGTAGAAAAATCCATTGATACATATTGCGACCATAACCTTGACCTTAAAAAGTTAAAGCAGTCCATGCAAGGTGCGCACGCTCCACAAAAGCAATACAACCGTCAATAAATGAAACCATTCTTTCAGTCGTTTACGTTGTGGTCATTTGACGACTTTCCTGCTTTACTGGTGGAGGAAAACGTAATAGCCCCTCCGTGCATTAATTCAGACATGAACGTGCAAATAAAACCGCTATGATCAAAGATGGTCAATATGTTTAAGAAAATCACGTGTAGCCATAAGTTGATAAAAATGGCCGAAGGTCATAAAATAATGTTATGCCCCCTTTTAAATTATTTTTATGTTACATTTACTGTTTAATCTCCGAGTCCAGAACAGGTAATAACTCGAAACGTCAAATGTATATGGAGGATAACGAGCAGTTAAGAAAAGTTCTACAACTCTGTATTGAACTTTGGCAAAAATTTATTCCCCCTTTTCAGACGTGGAAAGTGATATAAAAATATATATCAAAACTTTTAATATCTCTCTTAAACTAGAACCGGTAATCACTTGAAATTCCAAGCATACTAACCAGTCATAAAACGCATTTTGATATACATGAAATTATGCGTATGTGAGAAGTTAGCAGTTAACAGTGAGCTAAGCAAAAAGGCATTACGATTTATATAGGGAAATCAATGATCTGCTGTTATGCTCAGCTGGGTAAGCAATCTAGCAGAGCATTCCAAAATAAAGTGTAGTGTAAAAATGCTTTATCGGTATGCTCAGCTGGGTAAGCAATCTAGCAGGCCATTACTAAATATAGTGTAAAAATGCTCTGCTGGTATGCTCAGCTGGCTAGGCAATCTAGCGGGGCGTTCCAAAATATAGAGTAAAAATGCTCTGCTGTTATACTCAGCTGGCTAAGCAATCTAGCGGGGCATTCCAAAATATAGTGTAAAAAGCTCTGCTGTTATGCTCAGCTTGGTAAGCAATCTAGCGGGGCATTCCAAAATATAGTGTAAACATGATCTGCTCGTATGTTCAGCTGGCTAGGCAATCTAGCAGGGCATTCCTAAATATAGTGTACAAATGCTTAGCTGTTATGCTCAGCTGGCTAAGCAATCTAGCGGGACATTCCAAAATAAAGTGTAAAAATGCTCTGCTGAATTGCTCAGCTAGCTAGGCAATCTAGAAGGGCATTCCTAAATATAGTGTTAAAAATGCTCAGCTGGCTAGGCAATCCAGCAGAGCATTCCTAAATATAGTGTAAAAATGCTCTGCTGGCAAGCTCAGCTGGCTAAGCAATCTAGCAGAGGCGTTCCAATATATAGCGCGAAAAATGCTCTGCTGGTATGCTCAGCTAGCTAAGCAATCTAGCAGGGCATTCCTAAATATAGTGTTAAAAATGCTCAGCTGGCTAGGCAATCCAGCAAAGCATTCTGAAAATTAGTGTAAAAATGTTCTGCCGGAATGCTGAGCTGTCTAGGCAAACTAGCAGGGCATTCTTAAATAAAGTATAAATTTCGTTGGTCTGCAACTGATTATTTGGCACTCGTAGACTTTCTTAAATATTTAGTGCCAATGCAGATAATGACATTTTTGACTTCTACGGGACCCTCAAGTGTCTATTTCTTTGGTCTCCGACTGATTCTGGGACGATCGCAGACTTTCAGGAATTTTTGGTGTTAATGCAGATAATGACATTTGTAAATTTTTAGGACCATCCAGAGTCCATTTCGTTGGTCTGCGAATGTTTCTGGAACACTCGCAGACTTTCAGAAATTTTCGGTGCCAATGGAGATAATGACATTTTTACTTCAAAAGGACCCTCCTGAGTCTATTTCGTTGGTTTGCGACTGATTCTGAGTCACTCGCAGACTTTCAGGAATTTTGGTGTCAATGCAGAAAATGATATTTCTGACTTATTGGGACCTTTCTGAATCCATTTTTTTGGTCTGCGACTGATTCTGAGGCACTCACAGACTTTCAGGAATTTTTGATGTCAAGACAGATAATGACATTTTTTACTTCTAGGGACCATCCAGGGTCCATTTTTTTGTTCTGCGACTTAATCTTGGACAGTCACAGACTTTCAGGAATTGTTGGTGCAAATAGAGATAATTACAATTTATGACATTTTTGACCATCCAGAGTCTTTTTCGTTGGTCTGCGACTGATTATAGGGCACTTGCAGACTTTCAGGAATTTTTGGTGCTAATGCAGATAATGACATTTTAGGGTGAAAATGCTCTGCTTATGACTAAGGGGTCCTTAAAAGTAAAAAAGTCATGATCTGCAATGGCACTAAACATCCTGAAAGTCTGCGAGTCTCAAGGAATCAGTCGCAGACCCAAGAAATGTACTCTGGCGGTTCCCTAAAAGTCAGAAATGTCATTATCTCCATTGGCATCAAAATTCCTGAAAGTCTGCAAGTGTCCCAAAATCAGTCGCAGACCAGCGAAATGAACTCTGGGGGTCGCTAGAAGTCAAAAATGTCATTATCTCCAATTGGCACCAGAGATTCCTGAAAGTCTGCGAATGTCCCAGATTCAGTCGCAGACCATAAAAATGGACTCTGGCGGGTCCCTAGAAGTAAAAATTGCCCATCATCTCTATTGGCACCAAACTTTCCTGAAAGTCTGCGAGTGTCAAACAATACGCTGCAGGCCAATGAAATGGACTCTTAAAGGTCCCTAGAAGTCAAAAATATGAATATTTCCATTGGCACCAACCATTCCTGAAAGTCTGCGAGTGTCCAAGAATCAGTCGCAGACGACCAAAATGGACTCTTGAGGGTCCCTAGAAGTCTTAAGTGTCAATATCAGCATTGGCACCAAAATTCCTGAAAGTCTGCGAGTGTCCTTTCAAAAAGTCACAGGACAAAGAAATAGTCTCTTAAAGGTCCTTAGAAGTCAAAAAATATCATTATTTCTATTTGCACCGAAAATTCCTGAAAGTCTGCGAGTGCCTCAGAATTGCCTAGAAGTCGAAAATGTCAATAAAACTTTAGCAACAATAAATCCTGGAACTCAGAATCAGTCTGCCAACTAAGCATTCCACCATGGCATTTTTTAACTATATTTCAGAATGCCTTGCTAGATTGCCTAGCCAGCTTAGCATTCCACCAGAGCATTTTTACACCATATTTAGTAATGCCCTGCTAGATTGCCTAGCCAGCTGAGCATTCCACCAGAGCATTTTTCACTATATTAAGGAATGCTCTGCTATAGTGCCTAGCCAGCTGAGCATTCCTGAAGAGCATTTTAACACTTTATTTAGTAATGCCCTGCTAGATTGCCTAGCCAGCTTAGCATTCCAGCAGAGCATTTTTACACTATATTTCGTAATGCTCTGCTAAATTGCCTAGCAGCTTAGCATTCCACCAGAGCATTTTTACACTATATTTAGTAATGCCCTGCTAGATTACCTAGCCAGCTTAGCATTCAAGCAGAGCATTTTTACACTATATTTAGTAATGCCCTGCTAGATTGCCTAGCCAGCTTAGCATTCAAGCAGAGCATTTTTACACTATATTTAGTAATGCCCTGCTAGATTGCCTAGCCAGCTTAGCATTCCAGAAAAGCATTTGTTCAATAATATTTAGTAATGCTCTGCTAGATTGCCTAGCCAGCTTAGCATTCAAGCAGAGCATTTTTTCACTATATTTAGGAATGCCCTGCTAGATTGCCTAGCCAGCTTAGCAATCCACCAGAGCATTTTTTACACTATATTTAGTAATGCCCTGCTAGATTGCTTAGCCAGCTTAGCATTCCAGAATAGCATTTGTACACTATATTTAGTAATGCCCTGCTAGATTGCCTAGCCAGCTTAGCATTCCAGAAAAGCATTTATTCAATAATATTTAGTAATGCTCTGCTAGATTGCCTAGCCAGCTGAGCATTCCAGCAGAGCATTTTTACACTATATTTCGTAATGCTCTGCTAAATTGCCTAGCAGCTTAGCATTCCACCAGAGCATTTTTACACTATATTTAGTAATGCCCTGCTAGATTACCTAGCCAGCTTAGCATTCAAGCAGAGCATTTTTACACTATATTTAGTAATGCCCTGCTAGATTGCCTAGCCAGCTTAGCATTCAAGCAGAGCATTTTTACACTATATTTAGTAATGCCCTGCTAGATTGCCTAGCCAGCTTAGCATTCCAAAAAAGCATTTGTTCAATAATATTTAGTAATGCTCTGCTAGATTGCCTAGCCAGCTTAGCATTCAAGCAGAGCATTTTTTCACTATATTTAGGAATGCCCTGCTAGATTGCCTAGCCAGCTTAGCAATCCACCAGAGCATTTTTACACTATATTTAGTAATGCCCTGCTAGATTGCTTAGCCAGCTTAGCATTCCAGAATAGCATTTGTACACTATATTTAGTAATGCCCTGCTAGATTGCCTAGCCAGCTTAGCATTCCAGAAAAGCATTTATTCAATAATATTTAGTAATGCTCTGCTAGATTGCCTAGCCAGCTGAGCATTCAAGCAGAGCATTTTTTCACTATATTTAGGAATGCCCTGCTAGATTGCCTAGCCAGCTTAGCATTCCAGCAGAGCATTTTTACACTATATTTAGTAATGCCCTGCTAGATTGCCTAGCCAGCTTAGCATTCCAGAATAGCATTTGTACACTATCTTTAGTAATGTCCTGCTAGATTGCATAGCCAGCTTAGCATTCCAGCAGAGCATTGTTACACTATATTTAGTAATGCCCTGCTAGATTGCCTAGCCAGCTGAGCTAGCCAGCTGAGCATTCCAGCAGAGCATTTTAACACTATATTTAGCAATGCACTGCTAGATTGCCTAGCCAGCTGAGCGTTCCAGCAGAGCATTTTTTCACTAAAGCTAGGAATGCTCTGCTAGATTGCCAAGACAGCTGAGTATTACAGCAGAGCATTTTTACACTATATTTAGGAATGCCCTGCTAGATGCCCAAAACAGCTGAGCATTACAGCAGATCATTACCTTCCCTATATAAATTGAAATGCCTTTTTGCTTAGCTCACTGTTCACTGCTAACTTCTCACATACAAATTATGCCCCTCTTTTTGCCTTGCTAGATGTTCACTTAGTTTGGATAGCTACAAATATCTAATCTTCCGGTCTATTTATTAAGCATGACAAGGAAAGAGTGTCAACTTCGGTGAAGTCAAAGAATATAACGCAAATTTTATCACAGGGGACTTTCCAAATAAGGAAACAATTTAAGATACGTGTAATTTTAAAATTTCATAATTTCGCGAGACCAATATTTCGCGAAATCAGCATTTCTAACTAACTGACGAGATAAAATATTCGCGAATTTCTTCTTTCGGTTCTGTTGAATTTATATCATACCTAAAAGCTTAGCGAACATTTATTTACACGAAAATTCTCCAATTCGTGAAATTAGGGAAATAATATCTTTCGCAAAAATGTATGGTTTTACAGCATCTTTGCGATGATTCCTGATTGATGTCTCTACATGTAGCATTCTGAGACTAAAATGATGATATTCAAATGTTCGCTTTGAGTTAAAAAATATATAAAAGGATTCCAGGTACATTTTCATACATACATACATCTATTTATTCAGGCGTAGATATCCACTTCATTATAGCATAAATTTTGCAGTGTAACAACCACAGTAAAAAATCCAATTTTTTTTGCCTATCTGACATAAAAATCGAAGTAACAACATATACGCAATTAACAGCAAAACCGATGTTTTAAAATGCATTATAGTAATTCTCGGTTATATCGAATTCGTCGGGACCATGGCTTTTTGTTTGCAATATCCGAGGTTTCGTATAACCGATAAAAACAATATAGAGGATATTTGTTTAGTTCAGTGTAAGGTCGGAATTTATTATATACTTATAAATGAAATATTGAGAAATATTGATGAAATAAAATGCGTATTTTTCATTTTCCGTATTTTCACTGTAAAAATTTATTTTTCACTGCAGTGAAACATATTTTCCGTATTTTCACTGGTGTCTTGCCGGACTACTTTCTTTAAATTCTACCAGTACACAAAATTTAAGGAAAGTTTTTCAAATTTTATCGCATAAAAAAAGAGAAAAAAGTACATAATAAACAGAAAATTCAAGTTTTTTCTATAAATACATGATTTATTTCATCTTGTGGCATGAAAATTACCATATTTCACTCGTGGCTACCGCCACTCATGAAATATTTATTTTCATACCACTCGATAAAAAAAATCATGTATTTATAGAAAAAACTTGAATATCCTCTATATATTTCACCGAGTGAGCAGAAAAAGGTATATTTCACGAGTGGCTGCGCCACTCGTGAAATATGAACTTTTGGTGTTCACAAGGTGAAATATATTTTGATCTTACACTAAACTAAACAAATTTTCTTTTTATTACATGCAAAGAAAGTTTTAAAAAGACATGAAACCTAATACTGAGTGAAAAGCGCGCCAAATGATAATACAACGTGACGTCATTTACGACATCACGTCATTAAGTTGGTACCCAGTACTGTGCACGCTGGTATTTCACTGAAACAACGTAAGGGGCTTACATTCAAAACAGTGAAATTATCAATTTTAGTGGTAATTTCACTGTTTCAAACAGTGAAATTACCAGTTTTATATCACTGATATATTTCTATAAACCACCGAAAAGCAGGTAATAAAATATATTATATTCAACATAATTATATACCAAACATTATGCACGATTAATGGTTTGACAGCATTGTAATTTATTCTCTAATTATGATAATTTTATTTATACAAATTCTGAATAATTTATTTAATTGCTGACGTCTTGTCAATACGCACTTCAGACAATAAACATCAAACTGGGGATTTTGAAATAAATGTATTGCATATTTAAAAAATAATTTTATTATCTATATAAGCAAACATTGGTGGTAAGGTAACATTACTGGTGCATGTATGTATATATACGTGTGTGTGTGTGCGTGCGTGCGTGTATATATGTATAATTTGTCGTTTTAGAGTTTACCCAGATCACACAATAATAATAATAATAATAATGATAATTATTAATAGCGAGCTCGACGAGCTGGCCCGAAGGGCCTGCTCGCAAAGCGAGCTTTACGGTAACGCGAGTACCTGCTAAGTGATGGTTTTGAAAACTTTCGTCCAAAGTACCGAATTGGACACATCGCAACTTTTCGAATTTAAAGATAACGATAAAAACTAAGGAATTCTGACTGAAAACGGATGTGTAGACTGGTCACCCGCGCACAACCATGGGAACGATAATTGGACAGGGAACCAGAACAACGGAAAAGCCGTCTATAAAATAACGAATGACAGTTTTAAAACGGAAAATGTAAAATGAAAATTGAAGGCGCCATTTTGTTTGAAAAATCTGATAAATAAAAACATTTTTTTGTCGAATTTTGTTGTGAAAACTATCTAGAATGAAAGAAAATGGTTCTAACTAAGAAAATGAATCCGAACACCAATATCTTTTATTCAGTCGTTAACGCTGTACAGACGTTTAAAAGTATTGTTTATGTGACGTCACAATGTAGCGCCAAACAGCACGTGCAAAACAATCATATCAAGTACGCTATTTTAATCGTATGTTCGCAAACGTTTTTTTAAATTTAACATTTCTTTCACTTTTAATAATCTTTATTTCGCTTGAAAAATTATAGAGTGAAATAAAATAAACAAACAAAGTTTTATCAACGTTTCCAAAACTCGTTATTCATTTAACGACAGGGGCGGAAACAAATTTAACACAGTACGTGTGCCGTCACACGCACTCGTCACTGCATTTGAAATAAAAATGAGCGATTATTTCATTACTATTTCACGTTAAAAGTACATCGAGCTCGCTTTGAGGCTTTGCCTTTTTCATATTATAATAATAATAATAATAATAATAATAATAATAGATCTAATAACAACAACAATAAAAATGAATTTTAATAAAATGAGCAATAATAAACCTTTATTTCAAGAATGTTAGAATGTAAATGTACAAAGTTTGAATGAAAACTATAAAGATTCCTGTTTTTGCCACCAACCCAACCAGTCCTTCTCTTGTTTATTACATTAATATGAATGCTTCTGATATCAAAAAGAGAAATAATTACTTTAGACGACTTTGGAAATTTATGAGTTTTGTTCTATAAAAGGCAGGCACTTTGGTTAATTTGTGTTTAATTAATTCAACGTCATCAAAAAAGGAATATTTGCTTTTCAAATTCTTTCAAAATAATGTATCATCAAAAAGTGACTATATTCTACAGATAAATGTCTAAAATGATTGTTTGAAATTTCAACTTCTTTTCTGCATCATACAGATGAAAGAAAGCAATCTTATATTATACAATTCGCTTAAACCCGTATTTTCCAACCATTATAACATTAATAATGCCCGAAAAGTATCCAAAGCTTTACAAAACTAGCGTAAACTATGTTTTCATTGATACCTAAAGTATGAATAAATAAAAATAAATAAATAACGCGTTTCATTCTATTACAATTTTACTCATCCGAAATCTAATCTATAAATTACAAGAAAAGTTGCAACAATCGGAAATACGAGAAGTTACTTATATGAAAGACTTATCCTGAATATGGCAAAACCTCGAAAGGTACTCTACAGTAATTAAATCAAATTGAAGATCGTGAACTCACTAAGTATAACATTTCGGGGAAAATGATCTCCTTTCATAAAATGTTAACAAACCGGAAGCAGATCTACATTTTGTAACTCTAATTAAAGAGCACTTCGTGTTTTTGTCCCACAATGCCTGACCCCAGTAAAGAACTTCCGGCCAAAGTTTTCAAAAACATCCAACTCGAATATACTTGCTTTAATAATGTAATGCTCGCTTTAAGGTAAGTCCTTCTAGCACTAGAAACGGAAATAAGAACAATTGACATGAATAAGCGTTGCATCTATGAGATTGAACAGTGCAGCATTTTAACGACAACAAACTTCCCCAATCAGACAATCTACGCAGAATATTTTGTTTTAAAAAGAATCAAGTTTCTTTTTCTAAACAATAAACGTTTGTATAGGTTTTGCTATCATCAAATGGAATGATATATCAGACAAATTTATTAAGGTCAGACAAGAGTAAGGTTTTAATGATATTTAACGTAAAGACCAAAGCAATTAATTGTATATTCCAGGATATTACATAACTTTTATTCTCTAACTATGACAATATCATGCAGTGATAAATGCATAGATTGTATTAAACACTCCATCAACAAGGAGGATGATCATGTTTGTGCATATTCTGTATCTCGCTGTCTTATTGGCGGCTAATGTCAAATATACGGATAGCCAAGGTATGTCAAATTATTTTCTTTACTTCTTATTTAAAATAATAAAAAAATCACGTGACAGACAGTGAATTAAATGTATGTATCCGTATTTAGAAGAATATGTCTTCAAAATTGTAAAGGCAGCGGTTGGCATTGTGGTCCATGTGTTTGCCTCTCAATTGTCGAGTACTGTGATAACGACCATGTTTCATCATAAAAAAAACTTACGGTGTCACTTTAGGGTCATCGAGACACAAACACATAACTGGAAACAATGAAAACATAAAATTACGAAGTCGAATTACGAAACCACGATGGTAAGAAGTCAAAGGTACGATGATAAAAAGGTGAATGTACGATGGTGAAAAGTCGAAATAACGCAACCATGATGATGAAAACTTGATATAGTTTCGTGTTTTCACCATCGTATTCCAAAACTTTCACCACCATGGTTTGGATGTTTCGTTTTTTCGACTTTTCACTGTGTGTCTCGATGGCTCTTACTGGACACCGTAAAAACTAGTACTGGTTAGTTCCATGAAACGGACTCGAAATATGTTTGAATAACTAAATTACCATCCCCTTCGCAATCGGGTATATATATGAAATGCTAAAACTTAGCTTGATGCAATGGGGATTTAACTGTATGTCTGTATTATGTGTTTACAGCTGCAAAAAAGGTTGGCAATACTCGCAAACGTCTTGTGGAGGATGTAATTTACTTTGTTACCAGCACGGGACGTGTTCACTGGACAACCAACAATGAAACAATCTTGAATCAGATTAACGCTTTAAAAGTAAGACTAAATATGATTACCGTTTATAAATTGAAATAAGAGATGATGCACCACCATCAAAATCCTTATCAACAACAACAATATCATCAACATCATCATCATCCTGATTATTATTATTATTATTATTATTTAATTATCATCATCATTATCATCATCAACATTATTAACATCAATATATTTATCTCCTACGTAGGAGTTAAACAGTCTTAAGTAGTCCTACGTAGGAATTATTAACTCCTAATTAGGTTTTTTTATATATCTCCTACGTAAAAGTTATAAAGTCCATCGAAGGAGTAATAAAGTATTACGTATAAACTCCTAAGTAGGCTTTTTTTAATTTCCTACGTAGGAGTGATAAAGTCCTGATTAGGCCTTTTATCTCCTACGTAAGAGTTACCATTTTGTATAGAACATGTTAAATTGGAAACCAGGACGCTAAATAATAAAGGCATATATTTTGTTGGAAAATTTTGATACGGAACATGTAGATATATGTTGTGATACCTCGTTTTGATTATATTGTAATTACAGGCATATTATGTAACACGTTTTTATTGTTTCTTTTCGCTATTTACAGACTTTTTTGTTTCTTTTCGCTAATTTCTGACTTTTTTTTTATTCTTTTCGCTATTTACAGACTTTGCAAAGCAAAGTGTTTCAGACTGTGGACGGTTACCGTGGTTACGAAATAAATCAGAAGATTGATGGCAGTTCAAAATACTGGAAGAGGATCCCTAAATGTACGAATCCCAGCCTGGAAATAGATATCCTGAAAGACCGCCGATCAGAGTGTGGTCAA